ATATATATATATATATATATATATATATACAGGTCACTTCAGATTTCAGTCTTTGTCAGAATTTGGAATAAATTTCAGTTTCAGGAGAGGGTCCCGGACAGTCAGAAGTTGGCATTAATTTAAACAAAGCTCAACGCTACCGTCCATTTGGATTTTTATTTCTGCTTTGGTGATAAAATTCCCGTCAGAGGCGCAGATAAAAGCTGTAAAAAAAAAAAAAAAAAGCGAAGAACCGTTCCCCCGCAGAACCAGAGACCCGACGGCCACTGCTGCCTTTTTTTAATTATCAATTATAATTATCAATTATCAGATTATGTGTTTTCACGAAATAATATCAATGGATTGATTATAATAATTTTTTTTTTTAAGTGTCAGAGGGCCGCGCGGTCTCAGAATAAAGAAAAGCGCATTAAGTTTGTCCTGTTTTTTCTAAAAAAAAAATGTACTTTGACACCAGAAAAAACAAAGTTTAAAATTAAACGTTCAATTTAAACGTTTTCTTGTGCAATTTTTTTTATTGTTGCTTTCCTTTTATTTCGTTTAATTTCTTCATCCCTGTCCTGTCTGGCAATTCATTTCAAATTCAGTTTCTTTTCTTTTAATTTATTTTTCTTCCCTTTTAAAAAAATATTAACATCATTCTGCTTTCCTTTAATTTTTCGTTAAATTAGACTTTTTCTAAAATGCCATTTAAATGAAAAAGCCTTGATAATTCTCACAAAATTCAAAAGATTTGTTTGTTTTTTTCCCGTCCGACTTTCTTTTGGCCTTTTCACCAAATCCCGGTTATTTTCTTATTTTCGACAGAACATTTCGATTATTTTTAACAGAAGCGGTTTCACGCAGGTTTCCTTATTATCGTTTATTTTAATTTATTTTCATTTTTTCTACTATCTTCCCTAAATCCTGCCTTTAACTCTACGGACCGGAGAACCGGAGAACCGGAGAACCGGGGGGGGGGCAGCGGGCAGAGCCCGGAGCGGCCCCCGGGTTTCGGGCGCCCTTCGGCGGGTGTCGGGGACCGACCTCCTCGCTGTAGTATCCGCTCCAGTCCGGAGCCTCGTGGCCTTCCATCTTCACCGTGCCCAGCATGACGGGGGCCCGCGGCCGGTCCCCCCCCCACCACCTCCGGCCTTGCTGCTGGCTCTGTCCCGGTCCCGGTCCGGCGGGGTTTGGAGCTCCCGGTGCCGGGTTAGGGTCCGATCCGAATGGAGAAAAGGCGCAGAGTGATGAGGAGGAGGAGGAGGAGGAGGAAGAGGAGGAAGAGGAGGAGGTGACCCGCAGACTGATGTGATTCTCCTCCTCCTGAAGGTCCACCCCCCCACCCCCCCCCACATCTCCTCATTCCTCCACTCATCCAAACCCCCCCTTCCCCATCCAGAGATGCGCACGAGGAGGGCCCAAAAATCCTCTGATGGAAAACAAAAAAAATCAACTTTGGATCTCCTCTCACAGCAAATTCTGAAAGTTTTCATCATCTTAGCTGCGAGCAAACTCACCTGTGCGTGAATTATTTTGATCATCCCGAAAACTGAGGCAAATAAGTGACTTTTTTTTTGTTTTTTTGGGGTGTATGATGTTATTAGTGTAGCACATTTCCTTAAAAAAAGCCCCAGTTGAAACAGTTCTGGTTCCAGGTGTTGTTCTTTGTGCAGAATTCAGTTCAGGGCTGAACGCCATTAAAAAACCTGAAACAAGCCCATTCAAAACCTCCCAATTTTTCTGATTTTTTTCCCCAATCAGCGAATGAATGATAGATTTTCTTATTTCAGGAAAAAACACCTCAACAGATGCCTGATCAAAAGCTGACAGAAGGAACATGTCGGTGACCAGAATCAGTCATAAAAACATAAAAAAGATACAGTGTTCTGTTTTTTTTTTGTCTTAAAGGCCCTTACTTCAGAGGAGCTGCAAACAAAACACAGTTATGTTCGTTTTCCTATGTCACAAACATGATATTAATAATAATAATAATAATAATAATAATAATAATAATAATAATAATAATAATAATAATAATAATAATAATAATAATAGGGAGGCACTGTGGTTTTTGTGGTTATCACTATCGCCTCGCAGCAAAGTGTTCCTGGTTTTAGTCCCCGGGGGAACCAGGAACTCTCCTGTTCCTCTGTGTGGGTTCTCTCCGGGTTCTCCGGCTTCCTCCCACAGTCCAAAAACCTGCATGTTAGGTTGGTTGGAGATTCCAAATTGCCCTTAGGAGTGAGTGTGTGTGGATATTCGTCTTTGTGTGTCTTTGTATGGCCCCCTGTGACCCCATTTGGAAATAAGAGGTTCATAAAATGGATGGATGGACAATAATAGTTTATTATTATTAGTAGTAGTAGTAGAAGTAGTAGCAGTAGTAGTAGTAGTAGTAGTATCATTATTATTAGTAGTATTATTAGTATTAGTATTAGTATTAGTATTAGTATGAGT